CGGAATTGTCGGTCAGAACAATTATAAAAGGCAAAGAAAAAATTCTCGAAGCTGTGAAAAATGCTCAATCTTTAAATTCAAGCATCATTCGTAAACGTCACAGTATTATCCCCGAGATGGAAACAATGTTAAAATTATGGCGTAATAATCAAGTAAATGTGAAAAATTGTAAAATAATATAGGCCTAATTTGTTATACATATGTATTATCTAAGGTTTTATTAAACATTTTTTCTAAATTATCGTTTTCTTTAGTCTCCGGCCCCAATTAAAAATTATTTGTATTTATTTATATGCGAAATTATACTCCGACTTACGCGAATTCGACTTACGCGGTTACCGCTCGGTCCCACCTATCGCGTAAGTTCGGGGTATTACTGTATCTTGCTTTAGATAAAGTGAATGAAAAAAGTAAAAAAGCTTGTATAGATTCAATAAGTTTATTTTATTTATGTAAGAATAAAAAAATTTCAAAAATAATTTCGTTTTAGTGTTATATTATTTCGTACAATTGTCGTGTTTTAATTTTATTGGATATTAAAACATTTAATAATTAATACAGAAACTTTGCCTTATTGTTAAAATATAATTAATTTAATTAAGATTTGTGACCGAAGAATTAATTTTCTGATCAGTGCTACTCAAACCACTACTACTGTTACTAACGTAAAAGAAAACCTGGATACTCCACGTGGCCAGCTCGTTGGCCATGTCCAAACTACGACTAACTAACTATCAGTGTTCGATGGTTTTATCCACTCGGCTACTAGACCGTGCTTATTAGAGTTAAGAAAGTACCACTCAGAATTGAAAGAAACCGAGTTGCTAGATGTGAAGAATTAAATATTCATAGACTTTTCACTTTACGTTCCACGCAGGCAAGTGCTCCCCTACCTGACGTCACACGTATACATACACACGTATTTGTAGAGTCAGACATTTAAAATTCAATTAGAGTTCAGAAAAAATGTAGTCTACATATAACAGGTAATCTTTTTATATTTAATTATTTTATTGTATTTTAAAATAAGTGCTTTTTTGTGTTTTAATTTTTAAAATGTATAAATTACTTAATAATGAAAATAACATTAGAAACAATCGGAACAGATTACAGTTTTAGTTAAAAGTAAACTTTCAAATACTTTTTTATTAATTTTAAATATTAATTTTTACCTATCTTAATGAGAACTAATGAAAAAACTTTATTAGAAAACGCATCAGACTTATTTAAGAGTAATAAATGAGAATTTATGTTAAATATCGCCGAATGTATTAAGAATTCCTAAATCAACGTTAATCTAATCTATACAAAATCGAATAATTCTTACCTCAAAATATTTTAAAATATTAATACAAGAGTATTGTTATGTTCCTACTACGAAGGTTCAATGTTAACAAATGACAAGTTTCGATTTAAAGATTTATTTATATTACATCTAGAACCTGTTTAAGTTTCTCGAAATTAACATGCTCAAAACTTTTTAAAATATATTATGAGATAAAATCGAAGTTATATAAAGTAAAATTGCGTAAATTATTTTCCTCACGTAAAGCTTCCTATAGGCCAGAGTTTCTCAACGAGGGCGATATCGCCTCCATGTGCGCGTTTTTTCATATTAGGTAGCCATTAGTAACAATTTTCATTTTAGGGCGAAAACAATTTTTTGCGATATAGTAAAACATTTAAAAATAATTAGATGTTTTATTCGTTATATCGTACAATAATTAAACAAATAACATTATACTATTTAATGCAATACGAATTTGGGCCCTCGACATCGGACTTTTAAAGCTTGCAGCGATGATTCAAGTGAATAATGCTTAATTTTAATTTTGTTAATTACAGGTAATCCCCGTATAACACGGTAGTTACGTTCCAAAAAATTGCCGTGTTATGCGAATCCGTGTTATACGAAACAAAGAACTAATACGAAAAGGAGGGTTAGGTTCCAAAAATTAAAAAACATGCTAGTATATTTTCATAATTAAGAT